AAGGGGCCAAAACGTGGTACGAATTCTTTGGATAGGTAGAGGGTCTTCACGGCAGTTAACTGACGTAAAAGCTCCAGCCATTGGCTATTCTCGACGTCGTCTTGCCTGTGAAGTAGCAAAAATCCTCTTTCGAGGGGACGAAGGAGCTCCACCGTTTGAATGAGAGCCTGAGGCAAGGACGAGCTACAGACCTGCGTCAGAGAGGAAAGTTGCCAATCTGACTTTCGACATGATATTCCCAAGCTTAACCCTCTGCAGGACGTCCCGGGAAGCGTGACCCTAACGTGCGAATCAGAAAGGGCCTTCCGAACGACAATCGATTTGAATCGACGACCTAGGGCGGCAAGGGAATGATGGAGGGGTGTGACTAATTATAAGCGTTTGCATCTGCCAGTCTCTCAGAATGGGCCCATGGGTGGTGTCGTGCATGGGTATACACATCCGCGAGAGTCTCAAGCCTCGTGCCACTCGGGAGGACTTATCCCGCATTGCGTTACTGTAGTCTGTAGTCCAAACGTCATATCTTTTTTCCTCTGGATACATGTAGGTTATTGATAGTTTCACTGTTTCAGTCCTCTTCCAATTTGGTCTCGATGAAAGGGATTCGACGTCCACACACGAAATTTTTAGCGAGTACGAGATCTCGTGGTCGAGCCCGATCTCCCTCCGCGCGGCCATGTCAAAACTGTGTTTTTCTCCAGCCAGCTTACCTTTAACCTTGCACAACTCGTCCAATTAATCAGTCGCACAGAAAGGCTCACGTTACGCAACCATTAACCAGCGTCTAGCACACGTAGAGAGTTAGATTCGCAGGTTTCGTCGTTTCATACCATTGACTCTCGATTACTGGTATGACGGTATGACATGACTTGTTGCTCGCACTCCCGGACCTTAACTACTGTCTATTGGGTGACTTGTGCCCCCACTCTCGCCAAAAATTGGGACCGCAAGACCCGGACATATGGGTAGAGGCGATGGGGTGTCATGTCATATGTTGCGTAGGAAAAGATTCATTCTGCGTACATCCTGAATCAGATGTGAAGGATCTTTTAGTTGGGGGAGCTAATATGCATAATCTGTCTTCGTCCTGAGCCTTAGGAAGCCTCGGGTATATTATCCGTGAGTTTGCAGAGGGAAAGGGACTTCGAAGCACCAGCCACTAGACTAACAATAAAGGCCCTTGATACACAAATGCCTGAAACAGTCTGGAAACAAGCCCTATGTTTCACGCAGTTGCATCTGAGGTAAGGTTTGTTTGGCAAAATCATTTCGCGGATGGACGATTTGTCGAAACCAAACCCACTTCAGTCTCTTCTGCTTATTGATGGATTGGCTTACGGCTGACTCTATATGCACGGCGCGATTCCTTGTTCAGTTGAAGCCCACAGAGCCATTGCTGGGACTGTAAACGTTCGAATAAATACCCCCCATTTCTAACGATACCCAGAGCTTCGTTTGGCTCTCCACCAGGTATCCTTACGTATACGCACCCATTAACGAGGGCCCCGTCAGAGTTCCTTCAGAGCAAGCCAACGATTAATAAGTGCGAGTGCTTCCTCCGGCTTGTCATATGGCACCTTGTAAGTTAACAGTTAAGTTAACAGTTAGTTCGGAAAGGGAACAAAAGAGTCCCAAGAGAGGGAGACAGAATTATGAATAGAAAAACGTACCATATGACCTGCCGCGTCGACAGTGGCAAACGTGAGGCCGTGCGCGCTGCGGGTCTTGCCCACCGCATGCCCATCGACCTTCCACTCGCGCAGGGGGAGCGCCGCAAAGTCCTGCTGGCCATGCCACTCGAGCGCGAGGGTCCACGCCTCGTTTCCGATCCAGTTACATATCCAGTCGTAGGTCCCGACGTAGACGAGCACGCGCACCCGGCGCGCCAGCAGTGCGCTGACGTAGTCCGCTGAGCTGTGTAAGCCGTCTTGCGCTGCGTTGAATGCCATCCCGACTGTAGGCGAACAGGCTGAGAATTTCTCGGGGACGAGCTGGTCGACCCCGAGCGTCGTACGGATATCTGGTCGATCAAGGAAGTGGGAGATGACCCTACGTGAGGAAGCGTATAAACATTGAGGAATAGAATGGCGTGGGAGTTCTAAAAAAGTCGTACCTGATCACTGGGTAACATAAGCTTTCAGGGTCACCACAAGGACGACTGATGTCGTAGTAGTTGAGCCCTATGCATGTCTAAGATGCCAACGGATAAGGTAGACAGATGCGGACAAACCGGTGGCAATATATGGATCTGAAAGCTCGGCGGAACAGAAGACAGAGGCAGCCCTACAGTTCATTTCGTCGTACCGATCAATGCATGCGTCCTTGACCCATTGCTTGCATCGGGGGAGCTAGTTGACGAGGATGGCCTTAGACTCCCCAGTTCAAACACGAACAAATAGAACATACGGCTTTCTTCATACGAATGCAAGTGCTGAAAAAATGAATGAGGAACTAAAATGACGCTGAACATAAGGCCAACCTAATGTCCAGTACTGGGGGCACAGTGGCGGGGGTACATGTCATAGAATAGTACGCATCTATCATCGTGAAAGGATCCGTAATTCCGTTGCCTAAGGAGAGCTGGAGTCGGTAAAACAAGCGGTGCGTGCTTCACTGTACATACCAATGATGGCCGATGTAAGATTAATCGGTGTCAGACCCTTTCTAACGAGCACGGCGTTCTGGTCATAGACCGCAGAGGCAAATAGTGGGATATACCGTCCCTGTAGGCAGGTCCCTCTTCAGCGAGGGCCAGTATATGTATAACAAATAGGTACATACACCGTATGATTCGCCTGCCATATGGAAGGCGCGCCCTTTAAACGAGGGAAAACTCTCAAAGAAGATTGCAACGAACGCAGCAATATCCCGGGCTGCTTCCTCGGAGGTACTCTGTGAACCGTTTTAAGAAATATAGAAAAACGGGAGTGCATGAGGACATCGCATACAACTGACTGGCCATGCTCGGCGTATGAGAAGCCAACGCCAATGGGCTGGTCAACGAAGAAAACATTGGCGTTGCTATTCCACGATTTATTGAAAAATGTTGGATCGTCGGTTGCATTGGTGACTCGACAGGGTCCTGAATTTCATATATGTGCGGTTGCCAAAATCGAGAGAATTCGTATGCCCGTACCTAATTCCATGAAAAGTCCAAGAGACGAAGAGCAACCAGGACCTAAAATCGGACTCTCAGCATGATGCAGAACAGGATATATGTTTATGTGGCACATCAGGTCCCAGTATGTCATGCAGGAAACAAAGATGGGATAAAAATCTCACCCCCATTTGTCCAAAAGATCACATCATCCTTATCCGGGTCGTTCCTACTCTCAAAAAAGTAGAAGAACAAGTGTTTTGCCTGAAAATCGATATAACCTGTGTACGCCCTAGACAGTAGTTAGAATGGACACGTCAGAGCCTCGGATAGTACACGCGGCGTCGCGGGCGACACTCACTTCACTGTCGTATCACAAAAGTCAGTCTGTTTGATCCTTGCGCTGTACGTCGGAAAGACAGGATGACGCAGGATAGTCCATTGGTCAGATTTGATAGCACTGAGCTGTCCAACAGGTTCGAACTTCAATTACAGGGTATCAGCGTAGAACGGAAGATCAACCTAGGTGCTCATCACCGCAGTCTGTGTGGACTCGGAGAGCACCGGAATTTGGGCTTGCACAGAGAGGAAATCAGAGTCTTGTACATGAAAATTTACAGAGGCGACAGCGCCTACAAGAACCAGCGAAATTGAAAGAGGTCTTAGGAACATTGCTGTTGGTGCCAACAGACAGAGTGCCAGTGCCCTGGACCGATTCCGCGGTAAGTCAACTGTAAGTCACGTGCGCCTCGGAGGACCGCACTGCACAAATATCAAAAGCGGTCCGCTTTTGGAAGGCGTGGTTGCGGAACGCCGTCTTTTTCCGTTTCTCGATTTTTATCACTCTCTAAATCTCTGAAGTGACTAGACAAGACATAGCCATGCTCAAATGCACGGCCTTATTGACTTTTCTACCGATTAACAGCATTCCCCGGTCTCAGTTTTCTATGTCGTTGAACTTGATGGCCCTTACGAACGCTTAGTGAGAGGGGACCGCTCCACAGATCGTCAGGGAGAGCCCTATGAAGGATGGGAATGACATACAGTAGGTATTTTCGAAGCGTCCATAATGATTGTTGACAGATCCTGTGCAGGCTGTGACAATTCATGCGTTCCCCGATAATTCGTTCACAGCATATCCGATTTCTACCAAGCAGATGTCATGCATCGTGTGCCCCAACGTGTGGAAATGATATTGCCTGGCGCGCGTAGGTGAGGCTATCAAATGGTACGGAGTCACACACCCGAAGGGATACGCATCGCCACGTTGATCACTTTGTACACGTCCTTTGTCCAGAGGGACGCCGCCAACGAGTAATCGGACGCGTTCGCGAGTTCGACGGCCTCATCAATGGTGTCGACGATTGTCAGGGCAGGAACAGACCCAAACGACTCGAGTTGCTAAAGTCTTGTCTCTGGTTTGACACCCAGAAGGATGTGAGGTTTCAACAGCGTAGGACCAGCTTTCTCCACGCCACCGAGGAGAACTTCGGCGGCGGCCTCCTTAGCCTCCTTGACCATCGTGATGATGTCATCTGCGTTGCGTTCCGTAAAGAGTGACGAACGCTCGGAGTTCTCGGGATCGCCGACAGCGAGGGTGCTGAGGTGCTGCTTGATAGCGAAAACGAGAGAACTGGTCGTCGTACAATCGCGTGCTCTGTAGCCACACTGACCAGAGTAAAAGAATCCCACAATAGCCCGCGAGGCTTGTTCAATGTCGGTGTCTGCGAGGACCTGTGAATCGCACACTGAATGTAGCTGGAAATAATTACTAGTGGTATCACGCACCACTGAGGGTGACTTGCCACCAAGTTCAAAGATGCAACGATTATATGCACCGTAATTTTCTTGACTGGCCAAGAACACATGCATGGCTCAATAGTTGTAGTGATGGGGAAAAATTTGACAACAGTGGGATTCGAACCCACGCCCTTTCGGACTGGATATGGCAGAGTCTGACTCAACCTGATTCCAGCGCCTTAGACCGCTCGGCCATATTGCCATGCTCAGAGTGACTTTCTTATTTTTATCTGACCGGATACAGCCCGCATTTCTCACGCGCACAGCACATAGAGTGTGACAGTCCACACTCGTCCTCGTCCCTTGCCTCGTCCTACTCGTCCGTCCTCCCCCACCGTACATTCGCGACCATACCCTTAGACCTAAAATTGGAGTGTGAGCTCAAGGAATTGTTGTTCTTTGCTCCTTCCATGTAGCTTATGAACGCGTCTAGCAGGTGAAAGCCGTCTCAATCAATAAGAACAACCATGCAGCCCAACCGGCTAGGACTTGGTCTGCGTCCTCCTCTGCCGTCGTACGGACAAGGCCCCTCAATATCGGCTCTTGCACAGCAGCAGCAGCAACAGCAACAACAGCAAATCCATGTTCAGAGCTTTGTGCCTCCCCAAGCTCAGAAGCAAATCTCACTCTTTGTCGGTTCAATATCAGGTGGAATCACAGATAATTTCCTTAACGACCTCCTTACTGTGCGCTTTCCCCCACTACTACCTTTAACTCTGGTTGAAAATAATGTAACAGGCTTGCGGGAGTGTCAAGTCTTTCAAGCGGTTGATCACACCCGCAAATAAACCTCAAGGCTTTGGATTTGCCGAATTTGAGGATCCCGATGGTGCGCTGCGAGCAATGACACTTTTAAATAATGTTGAGCTACCTGCATTGGAGGATGGTTGTGTGAGCAAGAAATTGTTGGTGCGTACTCGCCTTTTTTGTGGAATACATCGTTTGATAACCCTCATCAGATCAAAGCGGATGAAAAGACCAAGATGTTCCTCGATGCTTATCAGGCCCAGCGAATGCAAACAAACGTGCGTCGTCACTACACTTCTGGTCTAACTATTCCGCGTTGTAGCCCATATGGCGCATATGTGTGTCCGGGTCGGATGACAGGATGAATATGCTGCCTTGGGGGTTGCCCTGCGTCTTTGTTCACTGTTTTAATTTATCGTTCTGACCTATTTAACTCGTATTAGGCGGATGAAGAAGCATCGCAAAAAGCTAAGATCCGGGTACATGAACTTATCAATGACATCAACCGCGTCTCCCAAGAGGCCGCCAATAAAGGTTTACTGGACAAAGAACGCTACGTTATCCCACCCCACCTACACGATCTCCAAGAAGCCGACCTCCCAGAAACCCAACGCGGGCTTGTCATCTCGGAGATTGCGCAATTCCGTGAGCGAGCAGCCAAGCGCGAGCGCGAGAAGCTACGCGATGTTCGTGCTGCCGTACCAAACCTTAGCGTGCAGGCTTCCCCAAGTGGTCCCAAGGTGCGCGAATGGGGAAAGGCACAGGGTGCTGCCGAGACGCGCGCATCTGCACCGCTCGGACATGATCCTCAACAAGGCTTTTCCAAACCTGTTGGGTTCGTCAAGGCAGGAAGCCGGGAGCGCGACGATGAGCGTCAGCTTCCCGGTAAGGCTGCGAAAACAGACGAAGAGCTTGAGCAAGAACGGAAGGAGGCAAGGAGACGTGATGAAGAAAATTCGTTCAGAGACGTATGCCATCCGCTGGATTTGTATTGAAACTCGTCACACACGACTATTTTCTTGCAGCGCGAACGCCGTTACGAGCCCCGGGAGCGTAACCGCATCCAAGCTCTTGAGCGTGCGATCGCCCGCGACCGCGCCACACGTGAGGCCGAAGATCGTGATCGTGCGGAGATGCGTGCGCGACTCGACATCTGGGATGACGACGAGTCCGACGAGCTCTTCTACACCGACCGCGTGCGCTGGCGTACTCAGCGCGCCCGGCGCCTCACTGCAGAGGAAGCTGCAGACAACGAGATGCGCGCATTTGAAGCACGTGAGGCTGAGAACCTGCGCCGCGAAAGCGAAGCATTTCTTGCGCGTCAGATGGACGAGTTGCAGGCGCTGGCAGAAGAACAACGCAAAGCTGGCATGCTCCTCGACGACGGTGCTCCAGTCAAGCTTAACGTTTCTCTTGCACCGTCCGCGCCTAGGGCGGATGCAGGTTCCTTAAAGGAGAAGGCACCCGCACCGGCTGTTTTCGGTGCAGAGGAGGAGGAGGAAGAGGCAACACGCAAGCGCAAGGTGCCGCTCCAATTGCTTGACTTCAGTGCGGCGAACGACAGCGAGAAGGCCAAGGAGCGTTTGGAGCACGTTAAGGACTCTGTGCCCAGCGAGCGGGAAATGCTATTCAAGGCTAAGGTCAGGTGGGATGCAGTCACCGAGGTGCGCTCGATCAGTTTGACCTTACCTTCCTACTTGTTTGCTTATGGATGCGGTAGCAACTGATTGATCGCAAGCTAGAACCGCTCGTCAAAAAGTTAATGGTCAAGTATCTCGGTGAGCTTGACGACGATGACGTTGTAATGTTCGTCATCGAGCACCTTAAAGACCACAAAAGCCCCGCCAAGCTCGTGGAGGGTCTCGAACCGGTACGTACGATAAAAGCTACTGAACCTTGTCAAACTTACATGGACCTGCAGGTTCTTGATGAGGAAGCCGTGGAGTTTACCATTGCCGTGTGGCGACAAGTCATTTTCGAGAGCATGGCGTATGGCGAGGGCTTACATACAGAGCGAATGATGGTCGATGGGTAGTGAGCAGGGGTTGCGGTCAGGGCAGGTGCGTTCTGGTGAAACCTCCCTCCTCGGATAGGTGGTGCACGGTCGAGAGTGTGTGGCTTGTTAGGGAGTATCGCATTGACACAACTGACAATGCAGGATGCGGACGAATGCGTGAGTGATCATGATTTCGTTCCGCTGCCACCGTGTAAAAATGATTCCGCTACCGCGTTTTATCTTTTGATATCTGAGTCGCTCTTCTTCCTTTACCTTCCCGGGGCGCGAATGCACCTGCCCGTGAGGTTGGACACCGATGAGTGGTACCGTTCTTCTTTTGCCGTGAGCGCATTGATCGTCCGTGCTACCACCGCCATGGGGCATGGTGGCGTGGTCCATAGGCCATAATCTCCCGTGTTCAGTACCTTTACGGGCATAAGTCCTAAGATTTTCTATCACACCCTTGGCCACTCTAGGTGAGTGCCTCCTAGTTGTCCATGCGATATACGTCGTTGTTGGGCACCTCGACCAAGAATAATAAATGGTTTATGTTCACAATACCCCTTCTGGGCGATGTTCTGGAGCCCAAGCATGAAACGCATTCCGATCTTTTGACAGATAATCCACCTTGCCGCCCCGTGAAATGCTTCTATCTGTTAGACCTCATAAGGTGATTGTTTCTTCATTACAAGAGACCCCGAGGGACGTATAGCCGAGCTCAGCCCCATCGACCAACGATCGATTGCGAGCAGAAAGTCCTATTCATCAAAGCAGAGACTAACCTGCCATGATATTCATTCGTGAAAGATGATATCTAAAGCGTCCCAAAGTATCAGTACACAAGCCAGACGCGTATCCCTTCAAGAAATAACTGAGAGTGCGTTCAGCGTGCGAATGTTTGACATCCATCACACAATTCATCATCGCGGCCATACAGTTGCCGACATGTTTCCGAACCAAATGCTGCATAACAGAGCCTCGTATTGTGCGGTTACGTTATGGTTAACCCGGACCTAGAGAAAGTGGGCATATCATCACCGTTTGAGAGGTAGGGAAGTTTATAAAAGGGACATTTCCTCTGCGATTTTCCATTTCAGATACTGCATATTCTGTTTTCTGAAGCGAAAGCGACGTCCCTTAGGTACAAGGCCCGTGCATAAATTGTAATTCTTAGACTGCTCAGACTTTCTTTTAGATATTTGTGGCACGCCCCATCCTGCTACCGCGATGGAGACCATTGGTTGGCTTCGCGGGACCATTGACTCCTCGATCTATGTGACTTCACTGCCTCCTGAAGGAACCGATTTTGCAACAGATGCGGTGGCTCCCAACCCCATGCTTTTACGGTCACTGAGCGTATACACCGTCAGGGCCATCTCGGAGAACAAGACATCAATGGCGGGCATAATACTCGGGTTGATCATCATCTTCGCTATAAACTATACCAGAAGTCCTTGGAGAAAGCTGCCCCCCAGCCCTCGGCGTTTACCCATCCTTGGGAATGCCCTTCAGTTGAGGGATAAAAGTTGGCTTCTCTCGAAAGCTTGCAAGGAACGTTTCGGTGAGTTTACCGATTATATACCCAAGTGGACACTAAAGGTTTATACGGACATTACAGGAGAGATTATGTACCTTGACGGGGCTGGACAGCCCGTGGTCGTGTGTAACAGTCTTAAATCGGCTTTCGAAATCTTCGAGCGCCGTTCTGCAAACTATTCGGATCGTCCCAGATTTGTCATGGCACAGGAGATTCTTAGCGGTGGTCTACTGTTTTCGCTGATGAATTATGACGACCGGTGAGTGCTACAGTACACTGTAGTTCATTGATAATAAGATCACGTGATGATCTTGCTTATGTTCGAGTCTCTGAATAGTTGGCGTCGCATGCGTCGTGCCGCGCACGAAGCCCTCACAAAGAAATCTATACAAAACTATCACCCCATTCAGATGAAGGAGGCTACCATTTTGGTATCTTCGCTCTTGACGCCCTCTGCCAACCTTAAGCAAGATGGAAATTTTAAACGTCTAGCAGCGTCTACTATCATGTCCATTGTCTATGACTACCCGACGATCCTGTCAGAGCATGATCATGCCGTCGAGGGAATTGAAGAATTTAACGATCGTATCAGCCACGCGGTAACAATGGGGTCCTATTTTGTAGATATATTCCCTTGGATGAAACACATCCCCGAGAGGTCTTGGCTTTCCTTTCTTTTGTTTCATTGCGGATACTAATGGACAAACCAACTTAGATTCGCAAAATGGAAGCGAGAAGGTTTACGATCAAAGTCAGAGGACTCTAAGATGTTCAAAGGCCTTCTCAATCGTGTTAGAGATGACCTTGTATGTACTTATCTCATATATCTGGTACCCGATTAACAGACAGCAAAGGCCAACGGGGGAGACCGACCAAGTTTCTGCGCGTCTTTAATACAACGTCTCGATCGCGATTCTCTAAG